CCGCCACATGACAGTGCTGGCCAGGCGGCAGGCAAGTGTCGTCCTCACGACGCACCAGATAATTATGTGGAGGCCCAGAGAGGTCCCGGTGATGTTCCTGGTCGTAGAGCTTGGGCTCAGACCTGGGTCTTCCAACCGCCTTCGATCGGCACAGAAATGCGATACATGAGCGGATTCGTTTCTGGCAAATCACTCTGTGCTCCCTTGAAACGCTAGTCAACCTTCAAAACTCCTTGGTGTTTGTTGGAGTGTCCCGGCAGAGACCACTTCTGGCCTCTCAGGGAATGTCCCTTCTTAGTGTCCATTCACCACCGCCCGCCCTGAAGAGAGACGCGCGTTCTCCGGGCAGGAAACCACCGGAGCTGGGGAGAAGCCCGGTGGGCCGCGGGCATCAGGAAACCCGCAGTACGGCCAGCTTCTCTTTCCCCCATGGTTCCCACGGCCTCTCCAGGACTTGCCCCAACAGACCTTGCACCAAGGAGCTCACTCATTCATGCAGCATTGCAGAGGACGCAAGTCTGGCCCTGGGAGCCCGAGTGAGCAGGAAAGAAACTGCTCTGCGGAAGTGTCTGGAAACTCACTGCCCCAGTGAGTGTGTCCCCCAGTACCTTCACATGACCTTAGTTCCCCAAATTCACCGCTGCTGTGACCACTGCTCTGCTTCCTGAGTGCTGACCACGTGTGATCCATGTAGACACACGGGATACTGAGAACCAATGGTGGTGTCGTGGTGGGTGTCTGAAAACCAGCCTCAGGGGTGAGATGCGGCCCTGACTTTCGTGCTTGCTAGTTTCTGTGGTGCAAATACTCACCATGACCAACTATATTTGGGGGGAGGCATGGGAGAAGCCCAGGACAGCTGGAGAGGTGGGAGTAACTCGCATGGTCAGCACATCCAGAGACATTAGGTGGGATCAAGAGGGTCTTTGAGACCCGGAAAGCTGGTGACCTTCCCGAGTCCAGAGAGAATTTCCCCAAGCCTGTGCTCTGTGCTGGAGAGATGGAGCAGAGAGAGCGAACCCAGCCCTTAGGGTCTACACTGTGCGTTATCACTCACCCTGCGCAAGCCTGAGTTCCACTCTACCTGCCACACCCCTCAGACAGGTCCCCGCGGTGCTACTGCACGTGCAGGCTCCATGTGCAGGCCTGTCTCTGCACATCCTCTGGACTCTCTCCCTCAGGGAACTCATATGCCTTCCAGGGTGCAGGTCAGCCCCCCCAAACAGGCTTCTTAGGTCAGAACCTTCTTTCAAGATGCACCGGGGGGCCAGCCACTCCTGTATCACTCGTGTTCAGATGCCGTGTTCCAAGGCAAGTCCCAGGTCAGCAAGTGGAGAGCAGATCCAAAAACCCAACTGCAGGGGTGATGTGTTATTCTTCTCTGTGGACCGGAGAGCTTGGGAAGATGTGTGACCTTAAGCAACTGATCCACCACGGACAGATGACTATTAACTCTGGCTGGAGGCGTCTGGGTTTGCTGGATGGTGCTGAGATCTTGATCCTTTGTCAGGCTCCAGGAAGACCCAGGAGTTCAGGAATGTGGCACAGGGTCAAAATCTCCTGACAAGGGATTAAAATGCTGGGATGCAGACATCCAGCAGTCCTAGCAGCTCACTACTGAGTGTTATGTCCCTGCCGTGGGATTCCACATACCGCCCTGCAAATGCTCAAGGACAGGCAGGTTTCTGTCTCTGCAATCCAGGAGCAAGCCTCTTTAAGGAGCACAGTGGTGCTTGGGGGACTCCTCTGCAGATCTCTGGGCCTGAGGTCTGTCCCTGGTGCTGAGAGAGGGCCTCAGGGTCAATATGGGCCCTCACCCCCACCCCTTCCTGTGCCGCTGCTCCACCGCTGGCCCTTCTCACTGTGACACACTCTTCCTCCCCAGCAGCGCTGGGTGAGGGCTGGTCCTCTGAACCATGGAGGCTGTGGCTGCCATTCCCACAAAGGTGGCCCAGTACCATGTGGTGCTGTCTGCTGCTGAGGGGAGGAAGTAGCTGACGCTCCCCCTGGCTGCTCTGCCAGCCTCATCATGCCCATGACACCAGCTTCTCCCTGCTGGCAGCTTTGATGAGTAACAAAAATCAAATGGCTATAGAGAATCTGTAAAAACCCTATCAGACCAGTGAGCAACTTCTTGAGTTCCCTGAAAAATGTCTCCTTCCTTCCCCGCCCTCCCAACTTCTCCCAGACCCCCACTCGATGCCTTTCAGAGAGGCCCACAGGCTATCCACCACCCAGCTGCTTTCAGACACGGGGGCTGGACCAGGCTCTGCTTCAGGAGGGGAATGATAGGGCTGCCCCCTCAGAGCCAGCCTCTCACCCCTGCACCCTCCAGGTCTATCTGTGTGGTTGCAAATGGAAGGACTTCCTTCCTTTGCACAACTGAGCAGTCATGGCATTTTTCTCAATGCTGTTAGTTCTTCCTGCACGGCAGCGCCAGAGGGAGTCAGCTGGCAAGCTCCTCCCCCCATACTTGGGCTTGGGTGCCTTTAGCACAGGGTCAGCTGCCGTCAGGGGTGGAGGACATTGGCTCTGGCTCTGGTTTTGTGCCCTAGATCTGTCATCTGAACCCATCAGGAGAAAAGCAGCTCTGTGCTTACCTTCCTGCAAGAAGACCACAGAAGTCAGTCAGTTAGGAAGAAGACAGCGGAGTCCTAGCGTCACCTCTGGGGACATCTCAGGCTTTAATTATTTATTTTTAAAGATTTTATTTATTTATTTGACAGAGAGAGATCACAAGTAGGCAGAGAGGCAGGCAGAGAGAGAGGAGGAAGCAGGCGCCCCGCCGAGCAGAGAGCCCGATGTGGGGCTCGATCCCAGGACCCTGAGATCATGACCTGAGCCAAAGGCAGAGGCTTTAACCCACTGAGCCACCCAGGTGCCCCACATCTCATGCTTTTAGGCGGTGGAGCAGCTGACCAAAAAGGGTGATGGCTTTGAGGAAACAGGAACGCAGACAAGCCGCAGCTGGAGGAACAGGCATGGAGGCATCTGGAGAGCAACCAGTGGGACCGTTTTAAAACATTAGCAGATCACACTGCTCTGGTTAAAGCCCCTCGGGGATTTGACTACACCTAGAACAAAGTGTGAAGTCCTTCCCTGACCTACAGGGTCCTCCAGGACCCAGCTCCCCTCCCTCTCCTTCTCCCTGTGCTCAATCGTCAGTCCCTTACTAGACTGCCTCCCCCACTTCAGAGCCCCAACACCTCTTGTTCCCTCCGCCCAGAGCACGTCTGCCCAGACCTTCCACAGCTGTGCTCCCCACCCCACATCCAGTCTCTGCTCCAGTGTTACCTCTGCCGAGACGCCTTTCCCAGCCTGTCAAGTGGAAACAGACTCCCACACCCTAGAACAGAAAGCAGAATCCTGCTCCCCACCTTCCCACACCAGGGACCCCCACCTAAGAGCCTTCTCTCGATGGAGCCCAGATCTCCCTGCTCTCCCTCATCCGTGTGATGCACCTGGCTACCACACGGAGCTGATCTTTTTCCAGAACAGAGAGAGCAGCATAGCCCAATTCAGGTAAGGTGGGTTCTCCCACAAGTTGACTGAAATGTGGTAAAGTGCTCCCAGACCTCCTCGGGGTCCAGGGACCAGAGACTGGGCGTGGCAGCCAGGTCAAGGAAGAAACTGGGGACCAGGAGGTATTCAAAGAGAAGACATTGCCAGAGAAAGAGAAAAAACACAGATGCACTGTGGCCAAAAAGAAGGCTGAAGAACAGTAAGAGGGCGGGCTGAATCTCCCCAACTCTGGAGAGGATAGTCGCCTGAGGGCGTCTGAGGGAAAACAAGGACAGAGGAGAAGTCACCGAAGAAAAAAAGAGGGCATGGTGAGTGTTAAGGAGGGCACCTGATGTGGGCCCTGGTGTTGTGTGCCGAGTGATGGATCGTCGAGTGCTGCATCCGAAACTGATGGCATACTACTGTATGTTGGCTAAGCGAATTTAAATTAGAAAATAAAAGATAAGAGATTGGGAGAGCTCAGAGGAGGCCTGCAGTTGCTGGAGCTCACTTTTCTGATGCAAACAGAGCGGAGAACAGACCTGCAGCTTCCGGGCCGCAGACGGAAGCTGCTGCTGAAGGGAAGGAGTGTTTACTTCCCGGGTTCGGGGGAGGTGGCTGCTCTGGCCAGAGAATGTCGGAGACCTACAGCAATAACACACAGAAGTGCACTTCTGTGCACTTAACCTGTAAGCCACGTCTGTGCCCAGACGGAGCCGACAAGCCTGTATCTGCACAATCAGACCCAACACTCCCATCTGGCGGGAAGTCCTGACCGCCTGCCCGGAGGCCGTGTGGTCTTTCCATAGCCCGCCCTGGTGATTTCTCACTGACGTCGCTGCAGAAACGTGGGCGCGCCGGACTGCGGGATGGGCCCCTGCGGGACGGATCCTGCAGAACAGGCCCCTGCGGGATGGGCCCTGCGGGATGGGCTCCTGAGGGATGGGCTCCTGAAGGATGGGCTCCTGAGGGAGGGCTCCCCGAGCGCACAGGGTCAGCACGGGGCCGCCTCTCTGACATCCCAGGGACTCATGCACCTGTGCTGGGACGTGCGTACAGGGCAGGGAGCGAGGCTCCCCGCGCCACCCGGTCCTCCACGAACAGAGCGGGGAACGCAGGTGCGGGAGAGGAGGCTCCGCAGCACCTCGGCCCGGGCGGGCGCGGCCCGCACGCAGCGCTCGTGTTCGCCGGTGCAGGCTCCGGTCGCCGCTCAGACGCGTGTGGAAGGTCCGCGCAGAGGCTGTCACGAGCCCGAGACGCTCGAACCAGTGCGCTGACTGCGGCGAGAGAAGAGAGAAACGCGCGCTCCGTGAGCGCAGCTCCCAGCGCCCGGCTCCGGCTCCGCCCGCCACTCCGCGCCCCGGCTCCTCCAGACGCGACGGCCCCGCCCACTCCCCGCCAGCCGCACCCTCTCCCCGCGGTCCGGCCGGCCGCGCTTCCGCTTCCGGCCGCAGGGGCGGGGCTTCCGGTCGCAGGGTGGGCGGGGCCCGGAAGCTGCGGCGGCGGCGGTGGCGGAGCGGGGACTGCGGGGCCGGTCATGGCTGCGAACCTGAGCCGGAACGGCCCGGCGCTGCAGGAGGCCTACGTGCGGGTGGTCACCGAGAAGTCCCCGACTGACTGGTGGGCGCCGGGCCGGCCGGGCCGGGCGGGAGGGGGGTTGGGCCAGGGCGGGAGGGGGTCCCGGGGGCTCCCCGCTCCCCCCACCCCGGCGCCCCGCGAGCTGCTGGTCCCGCCGCCGTCCCCCGCCGCGGCTCCGCCCCTCGGCCGGTCTCCGTGTCGGATTGTGCGGCCGGGAGGACTCGGTGGCTCCGCCAGCTTCTCCTTCCCAGCCCCGGGACTTCCCCGCACACCGGGGCTCCCCGTGGCCCTCCCCGACGGAGCGCGAACCGGGCCCGGGGTTTTCCTAGCGCCGCGTTCAAGGGGGGGCCTCTGAGCGGGCGCCCCGGACCCCGCCCGGCAACGGGCGCCCTGCCCCACGGCCAGGAGGTCTGGGTTTAGGTCTCAGGTTTTCTGGGAAAGTGGATTCTCTCCAAGGATTCCCTTTCCTGTGCGAGCCGCGCGGACACAGTGACACAGCGGTGCTGGCTGCCTGTGGAGGAAGCCCCCATCATCCCTGCACCTGCCCGGGACACCCTCCACTCTGCCGTTGGGCCCCGGATGGGGCTTTCTAACTCTGGAAGCGGGTCGGAAGTCTCTGGGATGGCCCTGGGCAGCCCCCGCGCAGGGTCAGCGGCTGGTCACTCTTCCGCTTGCTTCAGTTGTTGGCACTGACCAGTTCTGAGCACTTGCAGCCCCAAGAAATACGCTGAGTTTGGTGAACTAAGGTGACCCGCTGTGAGGAGCGTCTTCCCGGGGCAGGGGCAGGCCCCACTCGGGGTCACTGCGTGCTGCGCCTGGCTGGTCGCCACACCCTGGTGCTCACGGCTGGAGGCTTTCCCTGCCACCTTCATACCCTGTGCCGTCGTGCGCGGGGCCTTTTGGGGAAGAGCTTCAGAGCACCTGCTGCGGGGGTGTGCAGACGCCTCTCTGCCTGCGACACCGCTGACCCTGATGGGACTTGGGTGCTGCGTTGCTGGGGAGCCAGGCGGCTCCTCTGTCCGGAACACATGCACGTAGCTAGGGAGTGCGTCTGGGAGCAGTGGGATTTCTCTGCCTTCTCCGTCTCATAATGCTTTAGGAGGGTCACCCGCACTTCAGGCGCTTACTTTACCAGGAGTCCCTAAATGTCCACCCCCGACCCTACCTGTCCCCTGCTCTCCGAGGGCCGTCACACCTCTGCTGTTACTCCAAACCCTGCTGACGGGCTCACATGCGGCGCGCCCCATTTCACATCCACCCGTGGCCTCGTGCCTTTGCGCCGGCAGCGTGTCGGCCCCCTCCGGTCCTACTCAGTTTCATGTGCTCCTGAGTAGCTGGCCTGGCCCTTCCTGACATACCTGCGAGACTCCTGGGCCCCCTGCTGCCTTCCTTCCGACCTCTTCATTCTCAGGGACCACCACTGCTCTGGGGTGATGTCCCACAGTCCCGCTGGCAGCTCAGGCCTCGCATGTTTCTGGCTCTTCCTCGGCTTCTCAGAGTTGTCAGCTCCCAGCCTGGTCTGAAATTCACCCACCCCAGCTTCGCTCTGTGCCCCCCGAGGGTGCTGAGCCTCTGCCCCCCGCCCCCGTCTGAGCCGACCTGTCTGGCAGCACTCCAGGTCTACACCCAGTGGCGCGAGTCCCCGGCTTTTGATCTCCCTGTCACGGCCATTAAGCACCTCAGCAGATAATGTGCGGCGGGCCCCCACTCATGAGCCGAGCAGGTACCTAGATCGCGCTACGTCTGTGCTTACGCTCAGCAGCTTCCTCTTTCACAGTAAGTAGAGCCCAGACATCTCACCTCAGCTGTGAGGCCCTGTGGGGCCAGCTCCCGACCCCTCCTGCCACTCCTCCCACTTACCATACTGGAGCCACACCTGTTTGTCACCACGGTGGCCTTCTTTCTCTTCCTCAGACGTGCAAGCTGCTTCCTCCTCAGAGCACTTGCTCTGGCTGCTTCCCCATTCTAGAGCACCTTCCCCATGGTCCCAGGGCTCCCCAGACATCTCAGTGCTGACACCGCCTTCTTGGAGAGGCCTTGCTCGACTGCGGGCTCCTTGTGTGGTTTGCCCAGACACGTACCAGACACCTTCAGTGGGCTTCCTGGCACCGTTCTCTTCACCAGAGGGCTGGGCCCTGTCTCTGTCCCCAGCGCGGTCAGCGCCCGCGTGCACAGCGACCTGAGAAGGGGACAGAAGATGTGGCAGAGGATACCAGCAGGAGGAAGTGGTCTCCAGTTTGGTGGGTCATGAAAGGTTTCCCAGGCAGAGTGGGCGGCTTTGGGCTGGGCCCTGAAGCCACGTGGGCCGGAGAGCAGGCCCATCAGCTCTCCATCACGGGCCTCGTCGGTCCTGGTTCCCCGGATTGTTCTAGATTGAGGCACATTTGTTTCCCTCCTGCTCCCTCTTCACTACCTGACAGGACATTAGTGTTGGTGTGTTTCTTTTTGGTCTCCCGTTAGAAAGGAAGCTCCATGGTCAGGGCCTCTGGGGATTTACTGGACGCTGCACGCCCGGGAGCAGGAAGGAGCAGGTCCTCAGTACATGTGTTTGGAAGGGATGCTTGAGTTCCCGGGCGCTCGGGGCACCACGCTCCGTGTGCTGTGCCTGGGCCAGCACGCCTCTCTTCCACGGTGATTTGAAAGAGGGATGGGAGTCCGTTGAACGTGGGAATGAGTCTCCGAGCTGCCAACATTCAAGAAGGTAGCTTGGGCCAGAGCCCGGGGTGGAGGGGAGGGCAGGCACCAGGCACGGACCTTGGCTCTTACGAGCTGCTGGGTCGCTTCTCGGAAGCAGTCTGTGCTGCCTGCTGCCTGTCTGTTGTCCCCGTCTTCTGCACTCAGAGCTTGGTGGCTTTGAGACTTACGGGCTTCTTTCCTCCAGGCGGACGTCTGGACGTCCACAAACTCCCACGTCTTTTCGCTGTTTGTCTGCGTGTTCCATGCCAGCGTCCCCTATGCCAGCTAGACCCTCGGGGCCTGGGTCTCCTTTCTTCCGACTTTCTCAGTCTAGGCAGCTCTGCCGGGTGGCCATACCAAGGCCCTGGGGAAGCTGAATGGAGGCTGATTTGGTTCCTGTCAGATTCTTTTTCTAACCCCTCCAGATTTTATTTTTAAGTGAGCTTTACACCCTTTGTAGGGCTTGAACCCCAACCCCGAGATCAAGAGTCACACACCAACTGAGCCATCAGGGCATCCCGGTTCCCGTCACACTGTCACCCCACAGCCCCTATCTGGCCCTCCTCGCAAGCCTGTTTGTGCGCAGAGCGTGGGAATGGCCCGCTGGTCCGGGGTCTGCCTTTGACTTGTCTGCTGGGTCAGCACCCGTACCCTGTGGTCTGCCAGCTCTGCCTGGAGCTGAACGGCAGCAGAGCTGGTGTTGATGTTTGGGCTCCATGTGGGCTGTGGCTAAGCCAGCTCTTCCAGAATGTTCTCCATGGGTAACCTCTGCTCTGGTCAAGGGGCTTTCCATGCCCCGGATGTAAAAAAATTTGCCATATTTCCTCAACTCCTCAGGGGTCACGTTCATAAGCATCTTCCCAGAGTTCTTAGGAACAGTTAGTCTCACAGGAAAAGGCAGGGGCAGCCTAGGGTCACCTGTGGAAAGTTAAGGCTCCTCCAGAAAGAGGATTTTACCCAGCCAAGGAGTCTGTCCTGTAAGGAGCCTGACTTCATGCTGAGTCATGGCCCATGTGGCTTCTGGGTTTTCTAGGAGAGTCCCAAGCCCAGAGCAACCTGTTCCGCCAACTCCTCAGGTTTCAGAAGACAGAGCAGACCTGCACGAGGGCATGGGGCGCCTTCCCAGTGCCCTGATGCGCACACCCGGCTCCCGCTCCTCCCAGGGCACTTCGGGTTCAGGAAGGTGTGGAAGGTTGCCCCGATACAGCTCGCCAGCCCTGGGGCGCCGGGCCAGTCAGTCAGTCGAGCGCGCGGCTCTTGATCTGGGGGAGGCAAGTTCCAGCGTGGAGCGTCTTTCAAATCGAACAACCTTCACAGCTCGGGGTTTCTCATGGCAAACAGGGGCTCCCTGCGTAAGTTTGTCCCTCAGGAGACGCTGCCGCGCCAAGGCCTGAGAGGCTCCAGCTCCGGGAGGCCTGCCGAGCTCCCGCCTCTTGGGCCAGCGGGGCCGGTGGCCACCGTGCTCCGCTCCTGGTGGGTGCGGCGGGAACGTGGGTCACAGAGCTTGTTTGTGTTGTGTTTCAGGGCTCTCTTCACCTACGAGGGTAACAGCAATGACATCCGTGTGGCCGGCACTGGGGGTGAGTATGGCCCAGTGAGGACGCCAGTGGGCTGATGGGGGCTGGAGGCCCCAGGAGGCAGGTGTGGGGGAGGGGAGAGAGTCGCAACCAGCAGTGTCCCCGGCCGCTGGCATTTCAGCCTTCACTGCTCACGGAGTGTGCCTCTCTGCCTCTTTGCCTACTTGTGATCTCTGTCAAATAAATAAATAAAATCCCTTTAAAAATTTTTTAAAAAAAGAAAGCCTGGTACCTAATTTGTAGCAGAAATGACATCTTTTTTTTCCCGGAACTCCCTGTGGGTTTTATAGGAATGGGTTTTTTTTTTCTCTTTTTTTAAAGATTTTATTTATTTATTTGAAAGAGAGAGATCACAAGTAGGCAGAGAGGCAGGCAGAGAGGGAGAGGGGGAAGCAGGCTCCCTGCTGAGCAGAGAGCCCAGTGCGGGGCTCGATCCCAGGACCCTGAGATCATGACCTGAGCTGATGCAGAGGCTTAACCCACTGAGCCACCCAAGTGCCCCTAGGAATGGTTTTAAAACCGGGGGGTGTACACCATCACCTGAGGTCCTTGTCACAGAGGCAGATCCCACGCCCCGCCAGCTCTTGTAGTCCGTGTAGTAGGGAAGGACCAGGAGTCTGATTCTGGTGCAGGGGGCCCTGAGAACCCTGGCTCAGGGGCAGGTTGGGTTTCCCTTCCCGGTGGGCATTGTGCAGGGCCAGCCACGGGCGCAGGGCCTGCTGACGCCCCCTATGCCTGCTGCAGAGGGGGGCCTGGAGGAGATGGTGGAGGAGCTCAACAGCGGGAAGGTGATGTACGGCTTCTGCAGAGTGAAGGACCCCAACTCTGGTCTGCCCAAGTTTGTCCTCATCAACTGGGTACGTGGAACTGGGGGGCCCCGAGTTCTCATCTAGGTGTGACCTGGGAAAACTCCTTTGCCTTCTTTCCTCCTCTGCCTTCTGTGATGGGAGCGGAGGAGGACTTGCCTTCGGGGCGGCTCGCAGGCAGTGAACGAACGGGAGTGGCTGGAGTGTGTGCGGCCCGAAGGACCGCGGGGGGCCTTGCCGGCGCAGAATCCCCCGCTCTACCCCCAAGCCCAGAATCATTCCCACGAAACAGAGCCCACAGTGCGGTCGCACGACACCCTTGCCTTTGTCCCAATCAGAGTAGTCGTCCGGAGGGAGCAGAGGGCCTGGGCCTGGGCCTGGAGAAGGCTCTGAGAGCGCGGGACCCCTGGGTAGGACTGGGAAGCTCTGAGCCGCCCGTGCCCAGCGGAAGCGGGCGGTCATCCTGCCTCAAGAACCTCCTTGACCTGGAGGTGTGGGGCTCGCTTTATCCTCTGCTGCACCCAAGGAAGGGTGGTGGCTCTGGGGAGCTGGCGGGTCACACCGGGTGTGTTGTGTTGCAGACGGGCGAGGGTGTGAACGACGTGCGGAAGGGAGCGTGCGCCAACCACGTCAGCACCATGGCCAGCTTCCTGAAGGTGAGGACGGCCCCCAGGGGGCCTCCCACGGCGCCTGGGCGGCTGTGAGCGCGTTGCAGCCAGAGCTGGAAGCATGTCCACACCCGACGCTTCCTTCAGACTCCAGCGCGACCAGGGGCTCCTGCACTCGTACTCGGCAAGTGCCCAGGAGGCCGCGCTGAGGCCAGAGCCCCTGGTGAGCTGGGCTCACTGGGGAGGAAGGATGGATGACTGTGTCCTTCTCGAGCACAGAGAGCATCGTGTGCGGCTAGTCCTGGGGCGCAAGGCCTTGGCTTCCGCTGTGTTTGTGGGGTTTGTTCAGCCGCGTTGTCAGGAGCTGGAGGAGATGGGAAGTTGCCCGTGCCCGGCCTCTTCTGCGTTCCTTTCCAGCGCACCTCATTCAGTTCCAAAACCGCTTGTCGTTTGCCTGTCAGGTCACCTCGCGTGTCTGTGGCTCCTGACAGAGAGGCTCGGGACTTTGATTCCTAGCCTGCCAACTCTTCTTCAGATAGGCCTCAGTTTCTCCATCTAGGAGCCAAGAGAGGATCCCAGGCTCGCTGGGTGTTTACTAACAGCGAGTGACGCCATGGATCTGACTTGTCAAAAATAAATTGGGGGCGGGGGCGCCTGGCTGGCTTAGTGGGAGGAGCACGTGACACGCGGTCTTGGGGCTGAGAGTTCAAGCCTCCGGTTAGGTGTAGAGATACTTGAATAAATAAAACCTAAAGAACTTCAGAAAAGAAAGAAATGGGTAGGTTGCGTTTTTTGGAAAACGTGTTTCCAGATCCTTTTTGAAGTTCGCTTTTGTGAATTAGAAAGGATCTCTCTCGTGCCTGGGCCTGCAGCGGGGGCGCCCGGCACCTGGGAACAAGCTGTAGGCAGGGCCACTGAGGGCAGAGACCACGTGCCTGTGCTGGGACAAGTGCAGTGTGTTTGTCTTGGGCACTTTGTCGGCCCTGAGGCCCCCAGCCCAGAGCCCAGGACGACAGTTGTCCACGCTGTGCACCCCGAGCTGTGCGTCTTGTCCTCTTCTGGACTTGCAACGCCTGCGTGCCGTCCCGCCACAGGGGGCCCACGTGACCATCAACGCAAGGGCTGAGGAGGACGTGGAGCCCGAGTGCATCATGCAGAAGGTGGCCAGAGCCTCAGGTGCCAACTACGCCTTCCACAAGGAGAGCGGCCGTTTCCAGGATACGGGCCCTCAGGCCCCGGTGGTGAGTGCTCCCTGGGCCCGAGTGTGGCAGGCCAGGAGCCGGCAGATGGGCTGGTTTCTCCCTCGTGGAGCTGGGCTCCTGCCTGCCTGGCTTTCGGTCCCCAGGCCCCATTCCGGTGCCGACAGTGACCCCGTGCCGGCCAGAAGCCGGGGCTGCCGCTGGTGGGGCAGGCGCTAGTGGGCATGAGGAGCAGCCATCTGTGCCACCTGCTGGTCCCACCGGCTGGCCTAGGGCCTCTCATACTCCAGGGTCAGTCCAGTCACGAGGCCACGGCACCAGCATGTCCTGCACAGTCCTGGGTGGTGGGCTCCATGGAGGGATGTGAGGTGGGCGGGCAGGCCCCTCCCTGTCGGGGGCAGATGCCAGGTACCCCGGCTGTGGGGAGCCCAGTTTCTGGGGCACAGCTGGGGTCTGTGGAGACTCCTAGCCACTGCCACAGTGGTCAGCTGTCTGAGGCTGGGGGACTGGCTTCCATCCACAGGGGCCTGGTGCAGCCAGAGACCCCCATCGGCGTTGCCTGGCCGCTTTCAGGGCCCTCAGGCCATCTTGTGCTGGCTGGTCTCCGGAGGGGGCACCAGGCCCGGTGCAGTCCCCACGGCTGTTGCTTGAGCCCTGGGCTCCCGAGGGCGGCCCCACAGAGGACCCTCTGTTGTCTGCAGGGCTCCGTGTACCAGAAGACCAACGCCATATCTGAGATCAAAAGAGTTGGCAAAGACAGCTTCTGGGCCAAAGCAGAGGTGAGTGCTGCGGGGCGCATGGAGCACAGCTGCCCCTCAGAGATGGTGCCACGGCGCCACCCTCGCCGTTCCTCAGGTTCTCTCACGATAAGCTCGCGGGACACGCGCCCTCGGTCGTGCCTGTGGCCAGGCGAAGGCCGAGCGGGCTCTGGTCGCTGGGCCGGTGGGCGGCCCCTCCAGGCGGCGCCGCACGGATGCCCGGGTAGCCCAGGGGCGGGAGGGTGCAGGTGCCGAGTGGGGCAGGCCGGCGGCTGTCCCTGCAGAAGGAGGAGGAGAACCGCAGGCTGGAGGAGAAGCGGCGGGCGGAGGAGGAGCGGCAGCGGCTGGAGCAGGAGCGCCGGGAGCGGGAGCTGCGCGAGGCCGCCCGCCGGGAGCAGCGCTATCGGGAGGAGCAGGGTGGCGAGGCCGGGCCCCAGAGGTGAGGCCCCAGAGTTAAGAGGGAGGGAGGGTCCCGAGTGGGCCGCGGCTGGGCTGCAGCTCCTGCCTCCGCCTCTCCCAGCAGGAAGAGTGAGCAGCAGGAAGTGGTTTCAAGGAGCCGAGAGGAGTCGGTGAGACTTACGTGCCCCCCACCCCCCAAGGGTCTGTTGCAGTAATGCCGGGGCCGTCCCTGATGTGCCAGGGGGACGGTCCTGCGGCCAGCTGGGGCACAGTGGAACCTGGGACACGTGGGTGCACCAGAGGTGGCAGTGGAGAGGGCAGTGAAGGGCAGATGTGGCCAGCATGGTCCTCTACCCGGTCCTGGACGAGGCCCTCGAGACCCTCCTCACTGCCAGGCCCATGTGCCCCCCTGCAGGAGCCGGTTAGCCAGCCAGCACACCCACGCGAGATTTTCAGGCAGAAGGAGAGGGCCATGTCCACCACATCCATCACAAGCCCCCAGCCAGGTGAGTCTTTCCTCGGTCTAGGCACAAGGCAGGAGCAGGCCGAGGCGGAGCCTGGGGTCCCAATGTAGGGTCGCCAGAGGTAGCGACAGAGGCAAGGAAGCAAGGAGAGCCTGGACTTCTCTAAGGGTAGCTTCTGGGAGGGGAGGCTGGGCCTCAGGTGTTCCTTTCCTGCCCGTGGCCTCGTCCTGCAGAGACCTGGAAAGGAAGGGCCACGTGTGGCTTCAGAGGGAGGCTCTCCAGCCCAGCCCCGCTCCATTAACTCTTGGTGTAGCTTGCACATGGTGGCCAGGCCCCAGAGCCTCTGTCACTCCCCTCTCTGCCCCCAAGGACACAGGATGGCACTGCCATCAGCTCTCCCACACTGGGGGGCTGCTTGAAGCGTACTGTGTATGTGATGTGTTTCTGCAGCGGCTGTGTGTCCCCCTGTCCTCTTCCCCCTCCCCGTGACAGCTATGTCCCGGGACAGGTCCCCGCTCCGGGCAGCACAGGGGACAGAAGCAGTAGACACAGCTCATCTCTCCCTCGTCCGGAACTTGCATGTTTACCTTTGTTTGCAGGCAAGCTCAGGAGCCCCTTCCTGCAGAAACAGCTCACCCAGCCAGAGACCCACCGCAGCCCGGAGCCCACTCAGGCCTCCTCGAGGCCCAGGGCAGGCAAGGCGCTTGGCTGCCCCGTGGGGGGCTGGGGCTAGAAGTGTGGGAGGGAGGAGAGCATCTGCACCCCTCCCCGGGCTCAGCGTAGGCCGCACCCTCCCATGCAGATGTCCGCGAGGACCCGGCGCCCAGCCCTCCGCCGTGTCCAGTGCAGGCAGAAGAGGAGGCTGTGTACGAGGAGCCTCCGGAGCAGGAGACCGTCTACGAGGAGCCCCCGATGGTGGGTTCCCTGCAGCGGGGCGCGGCTGTGAAGGGGCCACCTGCCCAGAAACACTCTCTTCACCCATGCCCGGCGCGGGGTGCCTGACTTTCTGGCGGCCGCTACATGGGGATTCTCTCGTTCAGTGTTGGAGTGGCCCCGGGGAGTACATGGTCTAGCACTCATCTGCCGGCCAGGAAGGTCCTGGGGCAGGGGGACATCTTGGGGGCAGTAGGATGGCAGCAGCCCTTGCCCTCTGTGTGCTGTGCCCTTCCCCCAGGCCCGGTGTGGGCCTGTAACGTGGAGCCCAGATTTCTCTTCTTTCCGTGCAGGAACACGTGCCGCAGCAAGATGCCGGCTCTGAGCACGTGGACCACTACCCGGGGCTGAGCGGCAAAGGGCTCTGTGCGCGGGCCTTGTACGACTACCAGGCAGGTAATGTGCAGCGGCCCGGCCACTCACCCTGCAGGGCCCCGCGTCAGGAGGCAGGCTTCCGACGCTCCCTTGGGACTCAAGGAAGGTGGGGGAAGGACGGGGTGGATGCCCTGCACGGCCTGGGCCTTCCCATCATGCTGGGCAGCTGCCCGTGAATCCCAGTTGCCGGCGTCGTGCTAGAGCCGGGAGTGTGAGCAGAGGGTGGGTGGACCCTGCGCGCCGGAACCCGGGGACCTGCCTGGAGGCTCAGGAAGCAGGCTGCTGTGCGGAGGCAGGGGGCCTGGAGTCAGGTCCTGCTAGAAGGTGTGTCGGGGGAAAGTGGCCATCGGGAAGGGCTCCCGGCCCCCAGTGCAGCCTCCAACTCCCCATCCCGCAGCTGATGACACGGAGATCTCCTTCGACCCCGAGAATCTCATCACGGGCATCGAGGTGATCGACGAGGGCTGGTGGCGTGGCTACGGGCCGGACGGCCACTTCGGCATGTTTCCTGCCAACTACGTGGAGCTCATCGAGTGAGGGCCCTCTGCTACTGGCTGCGCCAAGGCTATCTCCTACCCTTCCCCCAACGCGTGCTTCTCTTACTGCCGGGGATGTGACGTGCGTGCCGCAAGAGCCACACGGCGCTCCTCCGGGCATGGGACCCCCCGCAAAGAAGACAAGCCCTTGGGATCTCTCAGACTAGGGTGCTCAGCCTGTCACTCTAGATACAGCAATACCCTGTGATCCCCAAACGTGGCTCTGGCTGCTCTGGGCCCTCCCAGCCAGCCTGGCCTCTGACCCCCGCGGAGGACAGGGAGCCATGGTGTGGCCTCGCCGGGCGGTCTGAGCAGGGCCCTTTGCCTTGTGGTTCCTCTCCTCCTGGCCCTAAAGGGTAGTGGCTTCGGCTGGTAGCAGTCTTTGGGAACAGTAACCTTAGCATTTAGGACCAAAGTCTGGGTGGGTCGTGAGGGTTTGGGCAGCAGGTCGTCTTTCTGGGTCCTGCCTGCGCCCCTGTTCCCCGTTCCTCCGCCTGGGGCCGCAGACTGTGCGAAGTGGTGCAGGGACGACCGCATCGAGTGTGTGATCAGCAAACCCACATCCTTCTGTGGGGTGTGCCCTGTTCCACCGGCCCCGGTGTGTGCTGTCACCGGATTCTGGTTCGGGGGAGTGACCGGAGGGCCGATGCCTGCTGTCGCACCCTGTCTTCCAGCCCACCTGTGTCTGCTTCCAGAGTGAGCACTGCCCTACTACGGCCTGAAGGCGCCGTGTGGAAATCAGCCCCTTCCCCGGGGTGTGTGGGGGTGTGTGCGGGTGTGTGTGTCGACTGTGGCCACTAGGAGAGGCATAAAGGTCAAGATGTGACTCACGTCAGCCTGTTGCATTTCCGTGTTCCAGGAGGGGCTGGCGGCCGCCCTCCCTGCCCGTGCGGAGTGCGTGCACGTGTGTCGGGAGCTGCCCTTCCCTTTGTGCTCTGGCAGCTGCCAGGGAGAGCAACCGGGGTAATGGCTGCACTGAGACCCCTGGCCCCGGCTGCTGGCAGATGGCCCCCCTTGTCCCCTAGGCTGCAAAGGCAGGCCTCGCCAGCCCTGATTCTCCACCCCCAGCTATGGAGGCCCCAGGAGTCCCGTGTTGCCAGGTCAGAGGCCAGTGGTGGGCATGTCCCCAGCTGTGGGGACACCCAGGGGGTGGGGCTCAGTACCACCTCACCCTGCCCACCCCGGGACTACAGGGACGGCAGGGACAGCCCACCCGAGGGAAGCTGGCCATGAGGTGGTGTCCTCGCTGCAGTACCCACTCACCGGGGACAGCTGAGTCACCCCAGGCACCCCAGTGCTTGGGGAAGGTTACCAGGTGGCTGTCTCACCATAGGGTGCTTGCTACAAGGTCCTGGATAGCCCGGCTCAGGGACGAGACTCCTGCCCTTGGTTCCTGGGGCCCTCCCACCTAATCAGGTGGGCGGCAGGGCCCGAGGGCACTGGGGCAGGGTTTGTGGAGCCCCTCGCTCAGGGCCTTGGAGCTGGGCATGCCGGGGCCACAACAGACTCAAGGTGGTAGGAGCGGGTACCTTTATTGCCAGAAACCCCCCCCTTCATTTGGCCTTGCCCTGGGCGGCCACGGCCTCCATGGCCTTCCGCACGGTTTCCTCGTCCCCCAGGAACCGCATGGGCTTGGTGGGCTTCAGCGCCGGGTCCAGCTCGTACACGATGGGGATTCCCGTGGGCAGGTTCAGCTCCATGATGGCCTGGTCCGACATCCCTGGACCAGGGGAACAGGTCCTTAATCCCCTCGGCCAGTCTGCCAGGCAGTGGCCTGCCCTCAGGTTCAGCAGGCCCGGTGACCTTTATGGGGCCACAGAGTCGGGCCAGCCACGCAGCAGCCCTCCCATCCCCCACAGCAAGCCCCCCACACAGATGCCCCTGGAGACGGTCGAGCCAGTAGTGAGAGACTGAGTGGCCTGCAGAAATAGCCGTGGTAAACCGGGACCTTGTACCCCGAACCAGGAGCCACTGAGACTCGGGGCTGTGCTGTTGGTCTCTTCTGTTTGGTTTCTAGAACATTCTAAATTCCAGCCACCAAGAGCAGGGGTGCTCCTGACAACCGGGGGTGGAGGGACAGTGAGCAGGGCCTCCTGTGACCAGGGCGGAGGGGAGGCTGTGGGTGGAAAGGGCGAGGTTTTCCAGGGAAACCTGACCCTGCCGGCCTCTGCAGCCCCTGGCCCGGAATAGCAGCTCGACCTTTGCGGCTCTGGCACCCCACCCCCACCTCCCCCATTCTCCAAGCGGTGGGAGACTGCAGTGAGGCTGGCCTCCGTGCTCCTCTCCCAGACCCAGTCCCCGGAGAGCAGGGGCACGAGGTGGTCTTGAGGTGGGTGGACTGGGGCTGTCCAGCCCTCAGGGGCCCGCCTGTCTGCGCTCTGGCCAGCTCCCCGTTGACCTCCAGAGCAGGGGGCTTGGGGCTCCCCACCCTACTGGCCTTCTTCCCTTTCCACACTTCAGCAAGCCTGAAGGCCAAGGGTCTGTGTGAGTGTCCGAGGGAGCCCAGTGGAGGAGCGCGCCGGGCTCCCTGCTGGGAACCCAGCTGCAGGCCGGGCTCGAGGACGGCTGCACCCTTGCACCTTCTTGACTGGTCTTACCTTTTCCCTGTGTGGGTGTGAGCTGAGGGCCTGGGTTCCCCTGCCCTGGGCCTAATGAGCAGCCCCCAACCCCAGAGAAGGTGGTGGAGACCCAGCAAGTGAAGTGACTTGCCCAGGGCCACACAGCAGATAGAGCTGGGGCCAGACAGCCCTGCTTTGGCCGTGGGGCCCAGGCGTCCTTGGGCATGGCCTTCCCATCTTTCCCAAGCTCTTGTCCAGGAAGCCCAGCCAGCCCCAGGCCTCTGGGCCCGGGTTGGAGCAGCAGATGTTTCCACCCTCGATCTCCAGGGGGAAAGTCATTGTATTTAGTGTCCCAGTACGTAAACGAGTAAAACAAACATTTTGCGAAGTAGTCTTTTTAAGCGGTTTTTTAGTCCTCCTAGTTCACAGTTTGACTCCTGACCCTGAGTGCTTATGTGTGCAGAGCTGTCTGGGCAGGGGGCACGTAGCTGAGATGAGAATTTGGGAGCCAAGTGGTTCAAGGGCATGTGTCCCGTCCGCCACCCACAACCTGTCTCTGCCCACACCCCCTGCAAGGATGGGCCTCACCTTCCAGGTGCTTGACGATGCCCCGCAGGCTGTTCCCGTGGGCCGCAATGAGCACTCTCTTGCCAGCCTTGATCTGGGGGGCGATCTCCTCGTTCCAGAAGGGTAGGGCCCGGGCGATGGTGTCCTTGAGGCTCTCGCAAGTGGGCAGCTCCCCAGGCTTTAGGCCTGCGTACCGCCGCTCCTGGGGTCATCCACACCGCTGTTCTCTCCCCAGAAAGCCAGCCCCCCATCCCCGCCCGAGCCCTGCCTGAGCCCTGCCCACCCTAGACCCTTCCCTGCTGTCCCAGGCACCGCACCTTGCTGATGGAGTTGTAGTAGGGGTGCTTCTCATCCATGGGGGGCGGCGGGATGTCGAAGGAGCGCCTCCAGATCTTCACCTGCTCCTCCCCGTGCTTGGCGGCCGTCTCGGCCTTGTTGAGCCCCGTGAGGCCCCCGTAGTGCCTCTCATTGAGGCGCCAGGTGCGCACCACGGGCAGCCACATCTGGTCCGTGCCGTCCAGGATGGTCCAGAGGGTGCGGATGGCCCGCTTCAGCACCGACGTGTAGCAGATGTCAAACTCCATCTTGGCGTCCTTGATGGCCTGGGCGCCCCTCTTGGCCTCCTGGGCCCCCTTCTCGCTCAGCTCTGCATCGAACCAGCCACAGAAGCGGTTCTCCTGGTTCCAGGTGCTCTCGCCGTGCCGGACCATCACAAGGCGGTGGGTGGACATGGTGGGGCCGGGGCCGCAGGCAGGGACGGCGGCCTCCCCGCTGCACCCGGTTTTATAACAGTCTGTCCGCAGCCCCCCCCCCGCCCCCACACCAACTGCCAGTCAGCATTCCAGGCCGGACGGGCGGCGGCAGGTGGCCAGTAGCAAAGCCTGGGGGGGAGGGCAGGCCCAGAGCCAGCCTTAAAATAGCCCCAGCAGCCACCCGTGCCTGGGCTGGGTGGGGCTGTGTGCAGGATGGGGCACGAGGGGCAGAGACCCCACAGGCCCGGAGGGTGCTGCTGGCGGGAACCCAGCAGGTCTCCGAGCACTCGCTCCTCCCTGCAGGCGGGAGGGGGCCACACGCCCAGTGGCTGGTCCTTGTCGCCGTAACTGGGAACGAGCCTGCATTCTGCCAAGGCAGCCGGCTTGTGTAAGAGGAGTCTGTGTCTGCCCATGTACACGTCTGTGTGCACACGTGCGTGGGCACAAGCGTGCCTGCAAGCCTGTGAGTGGCCAGGAGCTTCCCCCGGTGGCTCTGCTCTGCTCAGCTGGGCATGGGGGCTGCAGAGGGGGGCTTCCCCCAGGAGTTCTGGTCCCCCTCCCCAGCTCCCTCTGCCCTGCCCGCCCGATGAGTCCCGAGGGGGCCTGTGGCCAATGGACAGGCCGGGGGTGGGCCTGGTGACCTCACCTCCACTAGTCCCCTCGAGGAACAGAAGGTCCCTGTGGGCAGAGCCAGGGGAGTGGGTGGGGGCCCTGGGGCCAGCGGTTGGGCCCTGCGGCGGGGGCACGAGGCCGTAGTGCGGGCAGCGGGCTGAGCTGAGCCGGCCAGCACTGTTCCCAAGACAGCCAGGGGAGATGGAGGGGTTGGGCCAGAGGGGAGCCGCGGATGCCGCTGCCACACTCTCCCACGCCGTCACCCAGGCTCAGGCTTGCCCCTCCCCACCGAAACCACCTTTCAAAGAAAGAAATCTGAGAGGTGTGCCCCGCAGAGGCACGGGCTGTCGGGTTCATGCCCAACAGGAGCATGGGCCGAGGTCGGTGTTGGGGACCAGACCTCTGCATTCAGATTTGGGGAGGGTGGAGGCCACCCTCCTCCTCTCAGCACCACACGTAGGCTGGCCTTGCTGCTCCATCTCTGCCCTTGTTAGAGCCGCACCCACGCTATGTGGTCTGTTTTTTGTCCCCTTGACTGCA